CCTCTGACCCTCCCCCCTCTCATGAGCTCTCTCTCTCTCATTCTCTCTGTCTCAAATAAATAAATAAAATCTTTAAAAAAAAAAAACAAATATGGGACAAGATGGAAGTAATCATATGCAAAATATAAAGGGACCAAATGAACAAATTATACAGTAGTCCCCCCAGATCCAAGATTTCGCTTTCCGGGGTTTCGGGCACAAGGCGGTCAACTGCGGTCTGGAAACGGGGTCATCCCATTTGTATTGTCAGAAGGTCAACAGTAGCCCAACGCTACACTGTAACGCCTGCGTCACTCACCTCACTTCATCTTATCACATCACGCAGGCATTTTACCATCTCACATCATCACCAGAAAAAGGGTGAGTACAGTACACTAAGATATTGATAGAGAGGACCACCTTCATATAGCTTTTATTACAGTACATCGTTATTTTAGTATCAGTTCTATTTTAGTATCAGTTATTGTTAATCTCTTACTGTGCTCAGTTTATAAATTAAAGTTTATCATAGGTACGCATGTATAGGAAAAAATGCAGTATATATAGGGTTTGGTACCATCTGTGGTTTCGGCATCCCCTGGGGGTCTTAAAACGCATCCCCCTCGGATGAGGGGAGCCTACTGTATTAGGAAAGTGAAAGAAAGATATGCAAAGTAAGAGCCCTGACTTTTTATGAAGGGGTTCACTGCCCATTCCTGGGTTCCCCTGGCTGTGCCGGGTGGCTTGGGGTGCGCCCTGCTAACCAGTATCCCAGGAGGAGGCCGACCCACAGGCCCCTTCGGCCCCTCCCCAAGCTAGCCCTCAGACGCCATGGAGCCCCCATCTGATGGGGTCCCGAGTTGGATCAGCCCGGGGAACAGGCCCAAGTGCTGGCATTTTCTACCAGCTGGACCCTGAAGCCGCCCCCAGGAGCCGTGCACACGTCACCCTCCTGACTCCCACGCCACCCTGAAGCAGTGTCAGCTGAGGCAGAAGAGCAAGTGGGCGACCAAGGTGCCACCTCAGCTTCCTCCCACGTAGAACGGGAAAAGCATTATTCATTTCCTGGGCAGTTCGGAAGCTCAGGGAGACGGCGGCTGCGCTCCCCCTGCCGACCTGATGCTGGAGTGGGCGCTCTTTCTGCATCCTGACCCCGCCGCACCGTCAGGAGCACGCGTGGCCGCTGCCCTTCCGTGGCCCTCAGCCACGTGCTGCCCACGACCGCCCTTCCACCAGCAAACCAGGAAAGGCACCACCCCCTCACCCCCACCCCGTCCCTCATCTGGCGGGTGAGTCTGTCGCCTGCTAAGCCTCCAGGCCAGAGAGGGAAGAGAACTCACAGGTCACAGGGGCCTTCTCTTCCTTGTCGTCATCTTCCTCCTCTTCCTCCTCCTCCTGCCCTGGCAACTTCCTGAACTCAGAAAGGTCCGTCTGTAGCAGCCGGGAAACTGCCTCGTGGGCCAGAGATGAAGCAAGTGGTGGTGGGGCGCTCCTGGGGACAGGAACAAGGAGTGAAGTGGGGCTGGCACCTCGGCAGAAGCTAATACCCCAGTGCCTCCCCGAATGCTCCAGATGGAGAACCCCTTTCTGCTCAAGGAGGCCCTCCCGGAGGAGGCGATGACTGCTCGTGCCACAACGTGCGGCGGCAAGCAGATCGGCCTCTGGGCCTCGGGGAGCTGGATGGGACAGGTCCTGAGCTACACCAAACGTGGGTGGGGGGCTGGTGGTGGGGAGAAGATGTGTCTGCTGGCCCCCGTGGCCGGGCCGCACACACTGCCCAACGTCCAGCCCGATGACAGCTCCTGGCCACCAATACCAGCTGGGGCCCTCTAGAGTGTCAGGAGTCTTATGGGTTGAATTGTGTCCCTCAAAATTCGTATGTTGAAGTTCTAGCTGCCAGTGTCTCAGAATGTGACCTGATTTAGAAACAGATGCAATTAGTTGTAGTGAGGTCGTACAGGAGGAGGGTGGGTCCCTAATCCAACACCGGTGTCCTTATAAAAAGGGGACATTCAGGGGGCACCTGGGTGGCTCAGTCGGCTAAGCGCCTGCCTTCGGCTCAAGTCATGATCACGGAGTCCTGGGATCGAGGCCTGCATCGGGCTCCCTGCTCAGCGGGGAGTCTGCTTTTCCCTCTGCCCCTCCCCCTACTTGGGCACGCTCTCTCTCTGACAAATAAATCTTTTTTTTTTTTAAAGGGGGACATTCACACACAGATGCACACAGGGGGAACTGTATGTGAAGATGAAGGCAGAAGCTGGGGTGATGAGCCAGAAATCACCAGAAGTAACCAGCCCTACATCAGATCCACCCTGATCCTGGACTTCCAGCCTCCAAAACTCTGAGACAACACATTTTTGTGTTTAAGCTGTTTGGCCTGCAGTCCTTCCCACACTACGTCCATGGAAAGCCCTCCCTGGCTTCCCTGCGCATAAGGGGTCCATTCCTCTGCTGCCCCTGTACCTCTCGATGCATCCGGACCCCGGAATCTGCCTCCCCACCAGTGGGAACCCTTCATAGGCCAGACAATGTGTCTGTCCTCAAGGGCTGGGGGCCCACGCCCAGGGTAGCCAGTGATTCTCCACTGGGCAGACACACCTGGCTTTTCCCTGAGGGCAAGGACCTCCCAACAGCCAAGCAAATGGGTCACTTCCCTTTGGGAGCTGGGCATCCACGGTGTGTCTATAGATGGTCTCAGGAATTTACAGGGATGAATCTTTGATTTTTTAAAATGAGAGGGTGACTCAGGGGAGAGGCCTCTGGAACCGCCTTTGAAAAACAACCAGCTAAGACATGAGAAATGAGTTCCCCTGCCATTTGGGGATTTCCTGCTAACCACTGGGTTTTCCTTTTTCACAGCAGGGAGAAGGGGCTCTGTTCTCTTTGCTCCTGGGGAGGTGGTGCGGTAGATTCCTGCAGGCCTGCAAAGGTCACTGGGGCCAGGAAGCAGCTTCCGGCCTGGGGAACACAGACAATGCCTGGCCTCAGGCCATAGGCCTCACTTCCTGGATGCTCCCTCCCTCCCCATCCAGGGGCTCCCCCCCACCCCAGCCCCCATATACCCTCCAGGCACTCAGGCCCTGCAGCAGTCAGGGCTCTTAAAGACTCCAGAAGATGCTGCAGTGAACAGAAGGTGGGTGCAAGGCCCAGGTACCCAAGAAACACTCTAGTTCCACCTGCTCTGGGGTTTTCAAGTTTGCAGCATAGCAGCCGAGATGAAAATGCAGAAGAGGGGCGCCTGGGTGGCTCAGTCGTTAAGCGTCTGCCTTCGGCTCAGGTCATGATCTCAGGGTCCTGGGATCGAGCCCCGCATCGGGCTCCCCGCTCCACGGGAAGCCTGCTTCTCCTTCTCCCCCTCCCCCTGCTTGTGTTCCCTATCTCGCTGTGTCTCTCTCTGTCAAATAAATAAATAAAATCTTAAAAAAAAAAAAAAAAGAAAAAAGAAAATGCAGAAGAATAATTATAGCATAAGGTGTGCATTGCTCGGGGACCTGAGATGGGACACAAAACCGCTCACAACAAGGGGGAAGACAGGACGTAAATCACTGCACCCTTGAACTTGGTGATCTGACTTCCCAACGGTCTCATGGAGGACACCATTTACAATCTGAGAAAACACCGTGCGCCACTATGCTTGGGGCCCCGTGCGCCCAGGGGCCTACACGCCAGCCGCAGGGATGGGAAGCAGAGGGACAGGGACAGGAGCGGCCAGGGAGCTGCGAGGAACGTCTGTGAGGGTGCTCCTGACAGTCAGACCCAGAGTAGACAACACGTGATCACACGTATGAACACTGTGTCTGCACAGGGAAGAAATACGAGAAAAGAACAAAAGGAACTGAAAACAAATCCATCAAGATGAGTAGAAAATACACGACTTTAAAATATTATGTTTTAAAGGTTTTTTAAGATGGATTTGTTAGGAGGCTGATGGGGGCCATGACCCTTGGCCTCTCCCTCATGGCTAATAGTCTCAGGCCTGCTCCACCATCCTGCTAATTAACAGGGTGCCTATTCAATGCCTGAGCCCAGGGCCTACCACAAGGGCCTCATGGGCACGCCCCGTCACCTCAAGCAAGTCCTGCTTTTTTCCTACGCGTAGCCTAGACACCTGCCCTCCAACATAACTAAAACCCGCTCACGCCCAAGGCCCTGCACCCATCAGACCCCTCTAGTCAGGCCCCCGACTTCTAAAGCTCAGGCCCCTCCCTGGACAGGAGGGCCGGTCACCTGCTCCTGCTTGGCCACCCTCCTCCTCCTCACCTGCTTCCATCTCCACTTCCATGGAGCAAAACCAGCCCCACCTTCTGGGATCCTGCCCCTCTGGGCATGTCCCTCCTCTGCCCTCTCCTCCCCTCACCAGTGGACTGACTGCTCACCCTGGTGGCCCTCCCAGGCTTGGCCCTATAGCTTGCCCTCTTTTTTTTTTTTTTAATTGTTATTGCTATGATGTAGTTAAGTTCTTTTTTTTTTTTTTAAGATTTTATTTATTTGACAGAGAGAGCGAAAGAGCACAAGCAGGGGGAGCAGCAGAGGGAGAGGAAGAAGCAGGCCCTCTTCCGAGCAGGGAGCCTGACTCAGGACTCGATCCCAGGACCCTGGGATCATGACCTGAGCCGAAGGCAGATGCCTAACGATCTGAGCCACCCAGGCGCCCAGCTTGCCCTCTTCTGACTCTGAGCCACCAGCCTGGGGCTCTCCTGCCTCTGTCCCCAGGTCACTTCCTCTCTCTCCCCGCGGACAGGTCATCTCCAACACAGCAGGCTTTATGCTGGGTGCTCTCACTCTCCCCGGGCTCTGGGCTCGCGCGTAGGGGCAGACAGGCACCAATCCTCCCAGGCCTGCAATTCCTCCCACCGCCCCTAAAGCCCCCACAGGAGGCCCAGTGGCTGCCGGTGGGACAGACCCTGCGGCCCCGGGCCCTGAGGTAGGCAGAGCCCTGGGAGCCCTCCCCTCCCCTCCCCCACATCCAGCAACTCTGACCTATTCTGTTCCACCGACTCGCCTTATGCCACCTGCCTCTAAAATATTTCCTCAACGAGAACAAAACAGGCCAGTAACACCCTCTGCACATGCCACACCCTAAAGGGACATGGTCACTGGGCATGTCCTCCTGAGCTCTGTGGGGCCGTGGGGCTGTCAGGATGGACCAGGCCAGCTCACACCAACCTTCATGCTCAGTGACCTGGGCTCCCATACTGTACGGGGTGAGTAAGAGTCATTAACTCTGTTGGATCCTAGCAAGCAGGCCCTTGGGGGTGTGTGCAGGGATCGAGCTGGCCTGTCACAAAGGAAGCACGCTTGGGAACACTAAAATGCCAGGATACTGAGGCTGGGGGCGTGGTCCGACTTTAGGGGTGACACGGTGACTAGGGACTGTGGGCGCGGCCCCTGGGGAGGGATGAGGTTCACGCAGATGCTGCATGGGCCGCTAGCCTTTACTGTCTATTGCTTTCTCCCTTCAAGTCTCACCTCTGTGCCTCAGCTGCCTGGCCTGGGAACAGGGGACAGCACCATCACCTCTTGGGTCATTTGACTAGGGGCACATGGCCTGGCCCTGCCCCCACCCTGAGGCCTCTGCCTCCCAATTTGTGAAATGAGACAGAAACAGGATTGACTGCGCCTGTCATGGGTTGGACTGTGTCCCCCCAAAAGATATGCTGAAAAGTCCTAACCTGCTCAGAATGTGACCTTATGTGGAATTAGGGTCTTTGCAGGTGTAAGGTGAGGTCATACTGGCCCTCAATCTCATAGAACTGGTGTCCTTACAAGAGAAGAGACCTAGACAGGGAGGGAATGCCACGTGAAGACACAGACGTGCAGGGCGGACGCCATGTGACAAGAAGGCCAGGCTGCAGGGATGCCTCTACAAGCCAAGGAACCCCAAGGACTGCTGGCAACACCGGCAGCTGAGAGAAAGGCCTGGAACCAATTCTCCACAGCCTTTGAGGGAGCTCGACCCTGCCGACACCCTGATCTCTGACTTTTGGCCTCCAGAACTATGAGACAATCCGGGCTACTTTGTGACGGCAGCCCTGGGGAAGCGATGAGGCCCTGTCATGGGGATGTCATTAGGGAGCATAACTGGCACAGGACAGGGCGTGTGGGGTGAGCGGGAGTTGCGGTCAAGTTCAGCCGGTGGCACGTGCCAAGCCCCTTGCTCCCGGCCCGTGCTGTCCCCTCCTGGCAGGTCCGCCTCCTACCTGCTGCTCAGGAAGCCCATCACCAGCTCGGCCAGCTCACCCTCCACCTCCTCCTGGCTCAGCACTGTCCCCGGGAGCTTCCATGGCACAGGGCTCTCTAGGCTCAGCGGCGCTGGGAAGTCGCAGAGGAAGGCGTCCAGGAAGCCTGGGATCTCCTCTGCCAGCTGGCTGCTCTGCTGGGGGGCTCGAGAGGCCATGCCCAGAGCATCCCGGGAGGTCTCTGCTGGGATTCTGGGTGGTCTTTGCTCTAAGGAGAGACGCGAGGGTCAGAAAACACATGGGGATCGGTGCCCTCACCCCACAGTGCTGAGTGTGCGGTGCCTTGCTTTCTCTCCTTCACCTCGAAGCATCACGCAGCAGGTGCCACGCCAAGCCCAGGGCCTCAAGGCAGAACAGCAGGGCCACTGGCCTCACATAGAGTTCAGGGGACCCAAGTAAGGGGGAGGAACAACCCTGGTCAGTGTCCTGACACAGCTCCAAGAGGGGGCACTCAGAAGCCCAAGAGAAGTGGCTTCAGGAGACAGAGCTGGGATCAGAGGCCACATGGATGCCCTGAAGGAGAAGTGACAGAGAAGGCAGGCATGTTCCCGGTAGGGAATGGCTGGTGTAGACAAAGGCGGTTAGGAGACACCAGGGCCAGGCCATTGAGGCAGGAAAACACAGCAGGTAAAGGGGTTCAACCTGACCCCGGGACCTCAACAGCCAGAAGGTGAGGAAGTGATGCCATCACGTCTGTGAGCCTAGTGGGGAGAAGGGATGCCTGTCAAGGAAAGAAAAAGAAGGGCCAGGGTGGTGCCAGCGCTGGTCCTGGGATGTTTTGGATGTGGACAAGAGGGGGAGTAGGAAGGGACCCCAGAGGCTGCAGGGCACCCCAGGGCATGGGCAGGAGAGAAGCCAGGAAAGTTGGGGACACCTGTGATGTGTCCTCTCCAACAGGAAGAGTCCTGGGCCTCCTGAGTCCCGGCTGAAGGAGAGGCACCAGGGACAGCCCAGGCCAATGACCCCACTGCCCTGGGCACTGGCTCCCACCTCTCAGGCTCTTCCTCCCCCGTCCTCAGGAAGGCTAAGGGCTTACTAGCTGCCAGGCCCTGTGCATTGCCCGTAACAACCCTGGGAGCCAGGACGAGCTCCCATTTCACAGATGGGAACACTGAGGCTGGGAGAGGGGCAGTGGTTTGAGAGTGGAGGAAGGATTCTGAAGCCCATACTCATCACCATCCCACCCAGCTCTTCTCCCACGACAGCCTCACTCACACCTGGCTCCCGCCCCATCCTCCTCCCCAAGGTGGGCCTCCAGCTCCTCTCCCCCACCTCAGGACCTCCACACACCACCTTCCCACCCTCTTCCCTCACCTTGCCTCCCTGGGTTCATGGGCCAGCGGAGGCCTGTCTGTCAGACTCCTGAACAACCCGCCTGGACTCCCACCTCTCCTGTTCAGCCCTCCAGACCCAAATGGTCCCAGAGCATCTCTCTTCTAGCATACACCCTCCCCCATTCACTCTCTAGGCCCCACTTCCTACCCCACACCCAGGTGTGCCACCCCCTGGCCACCAACGCCGAGCACAGGCCCTTGTCTCGCCCATTCCCCTCCAGCTGGAGCCTGTTCTCTCTGAGCCTTCCCAGGGCTGGGGCACCCCCAGGGCCTCCATAACACCCAACTGGGAAGCTTGCTTGGGGAGCAGTAACAGCTTGACTCGAGGGTCCAATCCCAAGTTGCAGGCAGAGAATGTGGGGAGCAATTTCACGGCCCATCCCCTCCCTGAGGCCTTCCTGGTTGTGATGAGCACAGGCAGGGAGAAGGCACGGGAGAGACTCTTCTGGAATTCCTCATGCCTGCAGATGTTACTGGAGGACAGCAGTGGACAGGGGTTGGCAACTGGAGGCTGAAGGGACCTGCCTCCGAGAAGAGGGGTGAGAGCTGGCCTAGCACCCACACCATGGGCATGGCTGCCCTTGTCCAGAGCCACTAACTCAGCACAAGTCTGTGGCAGAATAAAGAAAAAAAAAAAACACAAGAAGAGCATGGGGTGAAGGGGAAAGGGAAAGTTAAATGTCTAATCTGTGAAGGACTTGCAAGTGACGAGGAGGGTAAATGAAAAACGACAACAACAACAAACCCACAAAATCTCTCTTTCAGGGCCCTGTCAAAAGTTGACTTTTTAAAGCAGACACAGAAATAATACAGAAATTAGGGCACTTATGAGGGAAGGTTATGGGGACAGATTTAAAATCACTGCTATCCTCCATGCTTACTTATCAGTAGAAGTAAATACAACACAGCCCCAGGTTACAAAAGGTGAACAGGTAAAAAGATAAAGAGGGTAAAATAAAGAAGCAGAAATTAGGACAAGAGCAGGTTGGACAACCGAATCATGACCACAAGGGTAAGACTTTGTGAAATGGGGAGATCCGAAAAGGCTGGGAGCCTCACCGGGGGTGGTAAGGATCACCTGGGGAGAAGGCAGGCTGCCCAAGAAGTAAGCCAGAGAAAAACAAGAAGATGGTGTGAATTTCCCAGCAGGCTCCGACACCCTTCGGCAGAGAAAGAGGCCATGCCACCTCCTCTGCTAGGGAACAGCTCCGGCCTGTTGCTTAGGGGAGAGAAATGTGAATAATGCAGAGCCGCCCTCAAGCAACACCGGCGCCCTGGGGTCGGGAAATGCTGCTTGGCTCCCTGCAAGTCCTGAGCCCATCTGAGCCCAGAAACAATGCTCTACAGGCACTGAAATCTTCGGCGGTGCACGCGCTCCCATGTTCAGTCTATGATCGGGACCTAAACGAGAGGAGGGCTGGCTCACCGACCTCCCCAGAGTGCACAGGAGGGCCCTGCTTGAGAAACCCTGGCCCCCAGCATAAAGCACAGAATGCGAGACCCTTCGCCTGCGTCCTCACTTGCTGGTGGCGTCTGCTCGGCATTTTGGAATGCGGGTACCTCCTCGGGATGCTGTTTTTTTGTGGGGGGGGGATGCTGTTTTCTGTGCCTGGAGCTCCCCCCAACCCCCAAGTCTGCTCCTTTCCCTGGGGGTCGGGGCCCCTCCTCTCTGCATTGCTGCCTCGGTACTCTGCCCTGTGCCCGCTGACCTGTGCCCAGAATTGGGCACAGGCCCTGAGGGCAGCCTGTGACATGCCTGCTGAATAGGGTCGGGGGAGGGGGGCACGGGGGTGGGGAGGGAGAGGGCAGGCGGCGCGGGCGTGACAGTGCTTGTGTGCATGCTTGGCCTGCATCTGCCCGGGTGCGGGCTGCCTTATCCTCAGGGCCTGCGCCAGCCGCCCTCTGCTAGACAGGCGGGTGGCCCAGAGCCATCCTGCCGGCTGAGGACCAAACAGGCTGGTTTCTACATCAGCAGGCTGAGGCGAGGGGCAAGGAGAGGAACCAGGACATGGCTTTCCTTCTCTGGGGCCCAGCTGGGGAAAAAGACAAGAGTAAGTTCCTTCCAGGGTGCCTGGGTGGCTCAGTTGTTTAAGAGACTGCCTTTGGCTCAGGTCTTGATCCTGGAGTCCCAGGATTGAGTCCCGCATCCGGCTCCCAGCTCAGCAGGGAGTCTGCTTCTCTCTCTGATCCTCCCCCCTCTCATGTGCTTTCTCTCTCTCTCAAATAAATAAATAAAATCTTAAAAAAAAAAAAAAAAAAGAGTAAGTTCCTTCCTTGCCCTTCTTTTTTCCAACAAACTCTGAATCTGTGATATAGGCCATAGAGAGAGGAGCAAAACAATCTCGCTCCCAGGAGCCCGGGGTCTACAGATAAAGGCAGGAAGTGGGCAGGAGGGATTCATTCCCAAGGCAAAAGGGGCCCCCCCACAAGACAGCCCCGGTGCCAGGAGGGGCAGGGGACTGTGCCGTGATCCTGAGCTCTTGCCGGCCCACCAGGGGCGGACAGGGTCTCAGGGCTAGAAAGCAGGATAAGGTGGTGGGAGATGAGGCAGAGCTGGGTGCAGGGTGTCCAGCTGGATGCAGTGCTGAGGGGTGCTGGGAAGGGGGACTCGTTGAGTCTGGGTGAGTCATCAAGGACCGGGGGTGGGCAGGGGAGGAACACTGGGCTGCCAGCCCCCTTGTCACCTGCCTCCACCAGACAGGCCAAACGTGGCCCAGGGCCCAGGGCCTCCCGGCTCCTGCAATGCTGCCTCTCTGCAACTGCTCCTCAGCTGCCAGGCAATACCCGCCAGGGGCCCTCGGCTGCCAGCGCCCACGGCACTCTTCCTGCTGCTTCTCTTTCCACCTCCCGGCAACCTGTTGTCATTATCCCCACATGGGGGTCACGACAGGTGGGGGCGGCGGGGGGCGGGGGGTAACAGCAAAAGAACCAAGCAACTTGTTCAAAGTCCCTTGGTGGGGTTCACGCCTGCTGGGGAGTCACCCGCCCACCCCCCACTGGTCACCAGCTTGGGGATTCAGTCTCTTGTGGCCTCTTCTTTCATCTCTACGCCCATCACCCTGTTCCTGCTCCTCACCTCTGTGCTCCTGTGCCTTGCCTTGTGGCATTCCATTTTGGGCCCCCCCACTCCGATCCAAGCTCTGCTGAGCTGTCACACCTCTGGGGTCCAGCACACTGTCTTCCATGTGCTAGATTCCAAAGAAAAAATATTTATTTTCTTCTAGTTTATCAGTTTTGACTCATAAGCTCAACTAACGCACATTTGTACAACTGCCTTTTTCTTGATTTTTTAAAAAAGATTCATTTATTTACTTGAGAGAGAGAGAGCACGTGCATGAGCGGGTGGAGGGGGAGAGGGAGAGAGTGAGAGAGAATCCTCAAGCAGTCTCCCCACTGAGTGCAGAGCCCAACCCAGGGCTAGATCTCAGAACTGAGATCATGACCCGAGCCAAAATCCAGAGTTGGCTGCTTAACCGACTGAGCCACCCGGGCACCCCACCTGCCTTGTTCTAGATGGTAGGGACAAAATACTTGTTGAGAGTCCTGCTCGACTTCAGAACCCAGGAGTACAGCAAAAAACAGTAATCCTTAAGAAAGGAAACTGCATCATCATTACAACAGTGTTGCCTTCCTTCTTAAAAACTTCTCTGTAAATGGAGAATCTTATTTGTTCATAAGTAACCACTGGGAAGAATATGGCGTCAATTTTCCAGAGCTTTTCCTACACACGTATCTTTTTTCTTTAAAAAAAAAAAAAAAGTAGGGCAAAATACATGGGACACGTCATTTATCGTTCTGCCCATTTTTCCGTCTCCAGTTCTGTGGCATTAAGTACATTCACATTGCTGTGGTTGGGTGCAAGTCTACAGGCTTGACTTTCTTACAAGATGCTCTGAGTCAGGAAGCCCACCCCTGTCCTCTCAGGCATTAGCCCGGCCCTCTGTGCATATGGTGTCTGGCCAGTGCGATGGTGGAGGGAAGACGGGGGCTGCCTTCTGCCCCTGCCAGTGGGTGGTGTGGCTGAGATAAGCTGCCTGAGGCCTGGCACCTTCCAAGAGGAAGTTAAGATAGCCTGTGGAGAACAGTGATCGGAGGAGAAAGGTTTTAAACACAGGGATGGCCGCAGGCAATATCTCAAAGGAATTCTACAAATGAACTTGTATGGAGCTTTACAGCTTTCAAAGTGGTATTCAAAGTGGCATTTGTTTTGTTACCTCTTGCACAACAATTCCAAGAAGTACAGGCTGTCAGGCCACATTGCGGATGAAGAAATAGGCTCGGGGAGGGTAAGCTACCCGCCTAGGGTCACAAAGGTAGGAAATGGCAAAGCCGGACTCACATGAGGTCTTCTGATGCCTTTTGTCATTTCCAGTTTGGTTATAGGAGGAAAAGACTGAGATGTGACAGTAGGCCAGATATGGGCATAAAGGCCAGGAGTGAGGGGCGCCTTGTGGCGCAGTCGGTTGAGCGACCGACTCTTGGTTTCGGCTGGGGTCGTGATCTCGGGGGTTGTGAGATCCAAGCCGGGTTCTATGCTCAGCAGGGAGTCTGCTGGGGTTTTTCTCTCTCTCTCTCTGAAATAAATAAATCTTTAAAAAAAAAAAAAGGCCAGAAGTGTGACCTCAGAGTGCTGGCCTTACATTCTGTCTCCCATGGTGGGAGTACAGCTCGGCCCACAGGACTTGCCCCAGGAAATACCATGAGGACATGTGTCACTCAGGCCATGTGTCCCGCTGGGTGAAAGGCTGTGGGGGAGGAGTCCATCACCATCAACTAGTCCTGGCTATGTGTTAGGCCCTGCATTAAAATCTCTACAATCCGGTGCCTTTTCTCCCTCCCTACTGCAGAGAGGTTAAGAGGCTTGCCTGAGGTCACACAGCTCCCAGTGGTGGAGTCCATCACCTCCCTGCCTGAGATTTCTATCTCACACACCTAGGGCTTAAAGTGCGGCAGCCCAAGCATTCGCTTTCACTAAAACACTCGCTTTAAATCACTTGGACGAGGGCCACGGATGGGTGCAGGCCATGGGGTAAGGGCACGTGGGCAGAGATGTGGACCGGCAAAGGTGCAGGGGCTGGTGGGGTAGGGGTCAGGACAGTGGGCCCGGCCCAGATGCTCCTAAGAACAGAGGCTCGGCCACGGGCAAATGGGGGCACGTCACCCCTCAGCATCCATTCTGCTTCACCGCCCTCGGTTCCCACTTCGGCTTGGCCACACCCCCGCCGGCCCCTGGCCCCCCAGGTCTGCACCCTTGCCTCCCTGGCCCTTCAATTCTCTGCCTCGGGTTCCTCAGGTCTTCAATTGCTCCCCTCCGCTCTTCAGCCCCCCACTCGGCCCCTGAATCCCTTGGGTCTTCCCATCTCGGCCTCCCTGCCTCCCCAGCCCCCCTTTTCCACACCCTCCGGTTCCTCAGCGCCCCGTTTCCCCCCTATACGCCTCAGGTCTCCACCTGAGCCTCACTCCAGCGCGGTCAGCCCCCCGGTCCCATGCCCCGGGCTTCCTCACCCCCGGGAGCCCCAGAGCCTCACCTGCTACTCCGCCACTCCGGGCCCCTCGAGCCGCTCCCGGCCAGCCCCGCCCACTTCCCGTCCCCCGCCGCCGCGGGCTCCGCGCAGGCGCAGTCGGACCGCGGGCGGGCGGGGTCGGGCCTCTGCTGCCCCCTGGCGGCCTCGGGGTCCTTTCATTACAGGTGGAGAAGAGCTGCGCTCCACCCAAAGGGTCGCGCGGCATCGCTGCCCACATCCTGGGTTCTGGAGCAAAACCCGTGATCACTGGCGAATTGCCTGGCTTCTCGAGCCTTGGGTGGTTGGTAGATGGGGACAGCAATCCCTACCTCACAGCGCCCAGACATTAAGCAACATGTGCTGTAGGAAGCTGGTGAGCCGCGGAGCAGGGATGCAGACCCAGACTGCCCCAGAGCCCGCGGGCCGTCAGGCAAGGAGGCACAGTACCTGGGGCCCAGCATACTTTTAGCGGTTGTGTTGGTTTCTTATTGCTGCTATGACAATTACCACAAACTTACACAAATTTATTATTTACAGTTCTGGAGGTCAGAAGCCCGGAAGGTCTCAAATGGGCTCTAAGTTTGAAGTGTCGGTAGGGTGCTCTAGCAGGGAATCCGTTCCCTTGCTTTACCGGCTCCTAAAGACTGCCCATTCCTTGGCTTGCGCCCTCTTAAGACTATCTTCAAAGCCAGGAACATCCAGACGAGTCCTCGCGCTGCCTCCTCGGATTCCCTGTTACTTTTTTTTCTAATTTTTTTTTTTTATTTTAAGATTTTATTTATTTGACAGAGAGAGACACAGTGAGAGAGGGAACACAAGCAGGGGGAGTGGGAGAGGGAGAAGCAGGCTTCCCGCGGAGCAGAGAGCCTGATGCCGGGCTCCATCTCAGGACCCTGGAATCATGACCTGAGCGGAAGGCAGACGCTTAACGACTGAGCCACTCAGGCGCCCCTCCCTGTTCCATTTTTTAAAAACTCTTGTGATGGGGCGCCTGGGTGGCTCAGTTGGTTAAGCGACTGCCTTCGGCTCAGGTCATGATCCTGGAGTCCCGGGATCGAGTCCCGCATCGGGCTCCCTGCTCAGCGGGGAGTCTGCTTCTCCCTCTGACCCTCCTCCCTCTCATGCTGTCTCTCATTCTCTCTCTCACAAATTAAAAAAAAAAAAACAACTCTTGTGATGCCATTGGGCTGCCCAGATGAGACAGGATAATCTCAGTATTGCAAAGTTAGATGATGGGGTGCCAGAGTGGCTCAGTGGGTTGAGCAGCAGACTCTTGGTTTCGGCTCAGGTCATGATCTAGGGGTCCTGGGATCGAGCCCCGCAGGGAGTCTGTTGAAGATTCTCTCTCTCCCCCGCTCTCCCTCTGCCCCTCCCCCACACATCCATGGGCTCTTTCTCTCTCTCAAATGGATAAATCTTAAAAAAAAAAAAGTGAGATGCGAAATCTACATTCTGTCTGCAACCCTGATTCTCCTTTGCCATGTAATCTAACACAGGTTCCAGGTATGAAGACATGGACATCTTTGGAGGGGGCATTTTTCTGCCACTATAGAGGCCCATGAAAACATTTTCTTTTCAAGCTAGAAGAAATAAATGAACTTTTAGATAAAAAAGTTTTAATATATATTAATATATTCATCTTTATATTAATGCAGTTGTACAGTATAATTTAAAAAATTAAAAAACATTTTTATGGAAAAAGGGCCTTCAACAGCCTTACTGCAGCCCCACCTCCTTGACTTTCAGGCCCACATATGGGCCTCTGTCCTTTCCAGGAATCACGGTCTCTAGGATGCTTCACTAATAGGAGGGATTCAGTGAAGCAAGAAACCTTGGAGAACTAGCAGTTGGCTGATATGAAAGGAAACCATTTTGGGTAGACGTGAGCCTGGAGGGTAGGAGGTATTTAGGCAGAGAAAGCAGGGTGGGAGAGGGGCGCTGGCTCATGCCATTCTCCTACTTACACCTTCCTGGATCCTATAGGCCCCTGTCAGTGTGGTGACCCCAAGCAAGGCTTCAGGTTACTTCTTATAACTTGTCCTACCTTGGACATACATGTTCCTTAGCTAATCTGGGCCTGTTTCCTTACCAGAAAAATGGGGACTATAGCAACCAAGCTATCTCATGGGGTCGTTGTGAAACCCTGCATCAGTGTTTCTCAAAGTCTGTCCAGAATGCCGGCATCAGGGTGACCGTGGGGTGAAGTTTGAGAACCAGGGCACAGGTGAAGCGGTGCTTGGCACAGGGCCTCCCACACCGTGAAGTGGGGTGCCTGTGAAAGCTGGGACACCTGCAGGCCTCTTCAGTGAGGGCCCACATTCAACTCTTTGAAGCACTGATTGCACTCAAGATTCCATTCAAGGCTTAGAGATGACAGCAAAGTGAGGCACTGCCACTTGGCCAGGAGCTGGCCCCTTAGGGGCACTAGGCCAAGGCATTGCCTTTGAGATGACTTGGGCCCTGTGGCTTCTGTCAACCCCTCCTCGTCTGCATTCTACCACGCCTCAGCTTCTGGCTCTTGGCTTTCACCCTCGTGAAAGGAAGCTTTCAACGTCATCCACCCCACCCAGCCACTGACTTCCAGCTCTGCCTCTCTTCCCAGGCTGCGCCCCTGGCGTTGGTGAGCTGAGCTCACGGAACTCCCAAAGCGTTCAGCCTGGGTTTCCTCCCACCTCTGCCCCCTCTGACTGAACCCTCTCCTGGTCCCCACATGTCCATTATTCCAGATCCCCACCTGGAACCCTCTACTCCCCCGCCGTAGGATCTCCTGCGTGTGCGGGTGGTCACACCTACCTCTTCCTATCTTCCCGCCCCACCCCTTCTCACATTGCCAGACTCATTGCAGAGGTGGGGTAGCCTTGCTCTTGGGTTTCAAACCATCAGCGATGCTGTGACCTTGGAAGGAAGGTAGAAACCCTCACCCCTGACTTCCGGGACTCCCGCTTGGCTTCCTGTTGCCGGCTGCGCTGCTTTCTTGAAGGGGGCCCGTAGAGCTTCCTTGGCTGCTGATATCTGCAGGTCTTCAGGGGTCTGACTGATCCATGGTGGAGGGGGAGTAGGGTCCTAACTGCAAATCTACGGTGCCTTCTCCTGTCTAGCAGCTCCAGAAGGGGTGCCACACTCAACCGAGCAAATGCACATGAGGCACCTAGTGGCGATGTGCACCAGAGTCTCGAAGTGACCGGAATAGGCGTTGTCCGGGGCAATGGTCTGTGTCCAGCCAATTCAGCCGGACAACCAGGACCTGCTTCTGTGGGTCACGCACAAAGGCCTGGTCTGCAGGAGTTCTGCCCCCTGCTCTTCCAGAACAGGACAGCCTGAAGCTACGGACCTCCCTGACCTCAAGGGCAGAAGGTGACGTCCTAAGGAGCACGGAAGGCTGTTCCGGCCAGAATGGGCCTAGTGTCTTGCTGTCCTCCTGGCTCTGGCAGCCACGTTGGAAGAGTTGTATGCTGTTGGGGATACGAGATGAAGGGGCCCAGAAGGTGGACTCCAGCTTTGAATGCCAAGGACATTCATACACAAGGGACAGTTGCAGAGAAAAATGAATGAACCCTTTATGATTAGTCCTGCTTGGGGCTGAAACCTCAGTGCAGAATCCTGGTAAGGAATAGGTAGTTTGGATTTAAAGCCTAAGGTAGTCTCTGCCCCCCTGAGCCCCTCTGGCCATCCACCTGGGCTGCATGTGTGTGTGCGTGTGTGTGCATGTGTGTGTATCTCAGAGCAGAATGGAGTTGGGTCACCCTCCCATGGAGAAGACCCTGGGGCCACTCGCTATGGATGGGGTGGCAGAGCGGGCACAGCCCCGTGCCAGGGACACTACCCACTGGCAGATGTGGCCTTGCCGATGCCCGAGTCTGGTCCTAGCGAGAGGGGAGGGGGGGCAGGAACACAAGCATCTGAGGGCCCCCCTTCCCCAGGGACACCATCCCAGCAGCTTCCCAGGAGCCTGCCCTCAGGTCACATCGTCACCTCCCCAGCTCACTGCATATTTTCTTTGAACTTCTAGAGTGCTTCCACAGTGTTCCAGGGACACCCAGGTTGGTTTGCTGGGGCCTCCCAGAAGAGGGAGACTGGAGGGTGTAGTGCCTGCTTGGAATGCTGGGTGGTCACAGATTTATTGATGGAAGCTCTTCTCAGAGCCTCAAACATTCCAGTACCTGCTACCCAGATGGGGAGTCCTCATGCAAAACGTCTCTGACCTGCCCCTCACAGAGGTGTGGCGCCACACTGCTTGGAAAGCTGTTTTACCACCAGCCCGCGAGGGCCAGAGTGGGAAGGGTGGCAGGTGCAGCGCAGCCCACAGGGCCGTCTGGCTGAATGATTCTCTTCTAAATCGGGCATGCAGACGGCTTCCGTGGGGCTCCCTGCGGCTCAGCATGGCACCCTGGCCCAGCTCCTCCGAGGAAGTGGCTGGCCTGCCTCTGTCTGGGACAATAAGGGGTCGTGGGAGAACAGGAATCAGGACAGGCCCTGGGAGGGCGCCAGAGTCGCACGCACCACACACAGACCTGCTCAGAGCCGCTCTCTGACCCCAAGCAGTGGGCTGCGGGGATGGCCAAGGTCCAGTGAAGACTTCTTTCAGCCCTGCCTCCTCCCACAGGCCGCCCTCCTATGACATCTGCCTGGGATGACAGGCCGTTGGGGCCTTCCTTTCTTCCTTGCCTTGCAGACATCGGGACGCCTCCTGCTTGCGCACACAGCTACTGTGCTGTCCCACACATACTGAAGAAAGGTGTGAGCCTTGGACAGGGCTCAATCCCCCTTCCCACACTTGGTGGCCTCCCAACAGGCAGCGCCGTGGTGTGGGCTGAGCAAGGGCACTCAGGTGGTGTGTGCAGAATGAAGGGAGAGGTGGGGCAGGGAGACTGGGAAGGGCAGGGAGGACACCATAACCCTCTGGCTCCAGTGAAAGGTCCTGAGCTGTTTGCTTTGGAGAAGACAAAATGCATTTTAATGATTTCCATGGCCCATGGGACACCTGGGTGGAGCCTGGTGAGGGACTGCGGGGCCATCATACAAAGTAGGCAGCCAGGGCTGACATCTTGTCCTTGGGCCGCCTGGCGCTGGGCTTCCCGGGGGGCCGCCGGCCCCGGGCCCGCCCTCGGCCCTGCCTCCTCCCCGGCCCACCGCGGTGCATGGGGTGGCAGGAGGCCGCGTGCTTCAGCTCCACGAGCTCCTGGAAGATGGGGTCGCAGAAGACACAGCCCGTGTGCTGGGTCTCGTCGCCCGGGAGCGGGGACTTGGCCTTGTTGAAGTCCACGGCGAGCAGGGCAGCCTCGCAGCTGCCGCAGGTGTCGGCCGACACGCGCACTCGGTAGGCGTTCTCGAAGCAGTGCGCCACCACATTGCACTTGTTGCAGGCCACCTTCCACTTGGGGCCTGAGGTGGGGTCCAGCACCAGCACGCCGCTCTCGCATTCCACGCACTGGCCGATGCCCAGCATGCTCAGCGAGTGCTGGCAGGTGGGGTGCGTGCACTCATTGCAGCCCATGCCTGGTGGGGAGAGGGCAGCCTGATGCGCACCCCCAGCCCCGCCCACCGCCCCCAGGGGCCTTCTCCAGGGCCTCACGGTCCAGACCCCTCATCCCAGCAGAAAGCGTTCCTCTCGGCCTTGCACACCCTGGCTCTGGATTCCCCTGCTGCCACTGCCCCTGCTTCTCTGCTTACCTAAAACCTCCTCAACCTCTGAGCGCCAACCCCCCAACCATTTCCAGAAGGCCTTCCTGGTGGCCTCCAGCCAGGTTCAATCTCCCCTTCACTTTGCTTCCACAGCTCATTATGCCACTGAGTCACACGGGGCCGTCGGCTTCCCTGGAAGCTGCTGGAGGGCAGGGAAGGGCCTCAGTGACCCCAGCAGCTCAAATGCAGACTGTCCCTGCCTCACAGGTGAGGCTTGAGTCAGGAGAGGTGAACTGAGACCCCTGAGGGCTCCCGAGACCCCCACATGAAAGTGGGTAGATGCCTCTCGCTGTGCCTCGCTCCTGTCTATAGCATGGGGTGTAAAAGAGACGGCACAGGCCAGGGTGAGTGTGCTGGGCCCTGGGCCCCCTCTAGACTCTCGGTCCCACCTGGACGCATGCTCTCCTTTCTCCAGTAATAACCGTGAGGAGAGAGAACAGTGGTGGACGCTGACTGAGGGCGCACCCCTTGCCAGGAGGGGTCCCCCAGCCTGCTGCATCCTCTCACTCACCCTAGCCTGGGAGGGGGCACAGCACGCCTACTGCCCAGATCCCGAATGAGCTGACTGTAGGTGCCCACTTGATTCTGACCAGCATGGAGAGGGGCAGATGGCTGGCTCTGCCTCAGCAGGGCCCAAATCCACCCCAGGTCTCCTACCCCCACGCCGGCGAGGGGGCCGGGGCCGGGGAGGGGCCCCTCAGAGGCCAGCATGGTGTGGGGCAGGGGCAGGGCCTGTCTCCGGAGGGAGCAGCCGAGGCCCAGAGACACGGCACTCACCTTTCTTCATGTCTCGGAAGGGTGGGTGGTTGGAGCAGTAGGGGCACAGTGGGTAGCTCTTGCCCCGAGAGCCCGATGACCACAGGACCAGCTCGAAGTCATCCAGTGGGCACCGGAGCTCCTTGTAGAGCTTGATGGTGCCGTTCTGGGGGAGGGTGTAGGTCTCGTCACAGTGCGAGCAGTGCAGGCGGCTCGGCTTGGCCTGCAGTAACACCAGGGAGGGGGTTCGGGGTCACCGAGGCCACCAACTCTCCTGTCCACCCTCACTCTCATAATACCGAAGGAACCGTAACGTGATATGTAACGCATGTAACACGTAACCTGTAACATATGCTACACAACACAGACTATGGAACATGTAACGAGTCATGCATAACATGGTATGTGATACAGAAAATGTAACATGTAATACATAATACATGACACGCATATACCATATACACAGCCTAATACACTGTTTATACAACACATGAATACTACGTAACACAAAATACTAATGCATAATGCGTAATACCTATGTATACCTCCGCAGATAATGGCAGAATACAGACCTATGTGATACACGTGTCACATGTAATCTGTAACGCGTAACACATAATACATAATGCATAATGTGGAACGCGCTGCCAGGCAACAACCTCTCAGGCAAGGACCCCTGGCCACGAGTCTCAGGACACCTGCTGCACGCGTGAAGAAAAGCAGTTCTAAATTCCCCGTGTGTATATGAACATCCAGGACAGCAAATAAGGTGTTGTTGGGAAAGAATGGACAATGTGTTTAAGCGGCCTCACAGCTTACATGCTCCTGGGGTCAGGGGGACACTGTGGGTGTTTGTGGGCAAGGCTGCGGTAGGCCTCTCAAGCGTGTGTGACCACCAGGACCAAGACTATTATTCCTGTAGGACTGAAGATAAAGCAGAGGCCTCCAGAGGTGACAAGACTTGCCCAAGCCTGCGCACGATGGTGCCAGAGGCCAGAAGGGGCGGCCACAGCCCTTCACCCCACTTACCTGAATGTACTTCATGAACCGGTGGCACTTCCCACAGCGGGACAGGGGCTTGCCCGTGGCCGCCAGGGGCGAAAAAGACACCTCCATCAGCTCGTCCATGCCTGAGGGCAAGCAGTGCAGGGAAGAGTCACATCCTCCGGGCCCAGCAGCCCACCTCCACCTTGGACAGGCGGGTGGAGGGGAGGCCCCCGTGAGTGGGCAAGGATCGGAGTGAGTGCGTCTCTATCCCCAAGGGTGCGGGGATCACGGGAAGGCAGAGCTGCAGCCGCATTGGTCATCTGAGCCCGGTACCTTGCGTGTGGTGCTGAGATGCCCACTCTTTAACCCCCATGATGATGAGGATGGCCCAGCAGTGAGGCGCCACTGCCTCGTCCTCCCAACGGAGCCCCAGAGCCTGGAGCCCAGACCTGGATGCTGGTCCCGCACGGCCATGGCAGCCCTGGCCCAGGGGTAGGGAAGAGGCAGGCCTCACCGGCGATAGAGTCCACGAAGTAGTGGAACTTCCTCTTGAAGACGTCCAGTGTGTGGCCCAGGACCTGGCGGTAGTCGGCCTTGCCCTGGGCGATCAGGTTCAGCTGCTTCTCGACCGCACTGCGGATGGTGGGGAGCACCAGCTCCGCATCTGCAGGGTGGAGTGGGGGTGAGGTGCCACTGTGAGCACTCGCACTGAGGGGCTGTGGCTGCCCCCCGGCCAGCGCAGGCTGGAGTTCCGTGACCCCAGGCCTTTCCTGATCTCCTACCCAGAAAATCCTGCGTGGAGTGGCCAGGGACATCCTGTCTCTAGGACGGTGTCACAGTTCCTGGGAGTCCTCGGGCCAGGCCTGTGCTCTGACATCTCCCCTGGTCCCCTGGGAACCTCTCGGGGACAGAGCAGACAGCTCCACAAGGAGGACCTGGGCCCCACCAGGAGCTGGTCTGTGGGGAAGAGCCCCCCGCACGCCCCCTTTTGGATCCTTTGCACATGACCATTCATGCATCAACCACACAGAGCCCCTACTGGGGCACGTCCTCAGGGGGGCCGGTGTAGCACCCTCGCAGTGGGAGTTTATTGGCCCGGCAGAGGCTGTGGGCCGATAAACGCAGCGCCACAGCTCAGCCAGACTCACCGATCTTGTAGTAGCCGTGCACCAGGACGATGCCCAGGTTGGTGGGTCTGAGCCGGCGCCCACTCTCCACAGTGACATAGTTGCGCTGACAGATGTTGTTGATGTGCACGGGGATGCTGGCGTCCGTCCCTGAAACACATGGCAAGGCCCCGGGCTTCCTCAGGCTGTGCCCGTCACGCGGCAGGCTCCATGTCTGCCCCCACCCACCACGCGGGCCCTGGTTCTCAGCCCCTTCCCCTCTGTTTTTGGCCAGCACTGTGTGGGACACCACAGTGTGTGTTTCGAGAATGGTCTTATGAATCAAAAAATGGCCCTCCCAGCGCCAGCGCTCGGTGCTTAATCCCCCTCTATAGACAACAGGGGCTCATAGAGGTTAAGGAACTCTGCCAACATCATGGGAGCTCATTCTACCTGCCCCTCACACCTGGGAAATGTGACCTCCTCGGCCTCTCCTGCCTCGATGCTGAGACACTCGACCCTTCTAGAACCAGGGCTCAAGACCCCTGAACATGGAGGAACTCCCATGCTCGCTGCCAAGTCGTCCCCTCTGAAACCTGCTCAGTATTGCCCACTTTCTGGCTCCTAGGTCCCTCGCGGTCAGTTTCCGGGGCGGCACCTCCCCCGGAGACCTCAGGGATGCTGCCCTTACTGCTTCGCCGTGCTGAGGAGCCTCCTTAGAGGTGCTTAGAGGCTGGGACCACCGAGGTACCACACTTGAAGGATGATGCTGGGACTGGGATCTGAACCAGCACACTACCCGCCGTGCCCACTGCATTCCTGCCACCCCCGGAGTGGCACCCCCCCTCCCCCGGGGAAAGCGTCTTCATGCAGCCCTGGGGGCGCCCGGTCAACAGCGGCACTGTCATGTTCAGAAGGTCACATGAGCCCTCTTCGAGGACACAAATTCATTTTGGTCATGGGGTCTAGGGAGACATGGATGTCTTGTCAACAGGGAAGGAGAGAGGATGCTGGGGGAGCAGCACCCCCACCCCACAGCATCTATACCTGAGGACTCAGGGCAGGACCCACCGCAGGCACCCAGGCCCCTGGAAGAAGCAGGCTCAGCTCTCCAGCTGAGGCCACCACTGTCACTAGAAGCCTAGCCTCAGGTGAGACATCACCTGTCACGACTGTTAGTGATAGAGCCGAAACCAGGTACAGCAACCTGGACTGTTCGCAGCCTTCTAGAGCCTGGTCAGCTGGTGCAGCACATCAGGGAACAGGCAGTTCCCATCAGAGTGATCAGTGCCTGGGGAGCTGGCCACACCCTGGGCCCCGATTACCAGGTGCTGGGCACGGAGGGGTCACTGAGCAGCTCTGGAAGCACCGTCTCCTGGACCCCAGTCCTGGGATGGGGACCCTTGGGCCCGGGGCCTGGGCAGGCGGGAGGGCGGGTGCACCCACCGATGCCGTGCTTCTCCATGAGTGTGATGAGCTCAGCCTCCGTCAGGTAGTCGGGCGGGCTCGTCTGCTTCTCCAGCATCTTCATCTCGCTCACAGGAAAGATATCGCCCCTCTGGCAGGTGGGCAGGCTCTCCTCCAGTGGTACGCTCTGCCAGGGCATGATCTCCGTGAAGCCTGGAGACACCGGGTGCTGCCACTCAGGGTCCCATCCCAGGCAGCCCAGGCCCAAGACACTGAGACCCCCTCCCCAGGTCCGATGGAGAACATTCTGTCCGTCTGTGGAGGTGTGGGAGGAGCCACGCTGGGACCTGCAGTTCTACCTGGAGACATGACGGTTTTCCCTGTGCAGGTGAAGTGCTCGGGCCCGATTCGGAAGGAAATGGTGCTCTGGAGATACCTGCAGTCGTAGCTAACCGTGGCGATGAAGTGTCTGGTGATGTACTCATACAGCCGCCAAGCCTCGCTCCCTGCAACGGACACGGAAGCTGGTCACCGGCCGGGGACTGGCTCTGAGGACCCCTCCCCCGGCCAGCGCTCTCACTCCAGCAGCAGGGCCCTAGCTGTTGGCACGGGATGCCAGGGCTGGCCTGCACCGAAGCTCGAGAGAGGAGGAGGGGAAAGTGAGTCTCCCGGGCCGTGGCGGTTCCTTCACAGCTACGGCTCCCGCCCCCCACCTCCCACCCCTGCTTTGAGGTGGGACTGCTCTTCAGGGCCTGGCCAGTCCGCAGCTAGGGACTTGCCACCGTCACTTCAAACTTGGGCTGTGCCCAGTGGCTCCTGTCTCTACCTCTCCCCTTCCCTGACTCCTCCCCCAGCCTTGATCAGGTGGGAAGCAGGCTGGGCCCTAGCACTCCCTGTCTCGCTGGTCCTGTCCTGTTCCGTCCTTGCCCATCTGTCTCACCTTCCCACTCGCCTCCTGCGAGCAGCCTCCTGCACCCTGCACTCAGGCACGCCACCACACACCTGCCGCCACTTCACTTCTGTCCTGTCCCTCGGCCACAGAACACAACTTTCAGGCGACCCCCTCTGCCACAGCCAGGGGCAGGTGGGGGAGGGAGGGAGCTCCCATATTGCCAACGGGGCCTGACACCGTCCAAAGGTGCCATGTAGCTTCCCACCCAGAAGCTTGGAGAGAGTGTGTGTGTGCGTGTGCGTGTGTGTGTATGTGTATGTATGTGTTGGGGGGAGTGCCCAATACCTAATTCGGCCTCTGTGGCAGACCTCATGGGGGTGATGGGGGGATGGTCGCCAGCGTCATGGCCCTTCCGTGGCCGATTGATACCTTCTGCTAACAAGCGCTTTACCTGAGGGAGAGAAGACAAGGTGGTGTGAGTCCTGTCTGCGGAGGGAGCCAGCACCAGTTCTGGGTTTGGCCAAAGAGCCTGGGCTGGGTCCCAAGACCCTGGCAACAAGTGTGCCCAGTGGCTCTGCTCACCGTGTCGGCCCAGTAGGGGTGGTTGGCCTGCTGCCGCAGAGGGCCCTTCAGGTCAAAGTTCTCGGGGTAGTGGGTGGTCTCAGTCCTCGGGTAGCTGATGTAACCTTGTGTGTAGAGCCGCTCGGCGGTCTGCATGGCATGCTGTGGCCCCATGCCTGCGACAGAGGGCAGGCTCAGCTGGACCAGAATGCTGGGGATGGCCAGGTCCCTGCCCAGGGGCCTGGGCACTCAGGCTCCCCACCAAAGGCGGCCAGGGCCTCCTGGTAGGTGAGGAAGGCTCTGGGTGGGCACCGCGAGCGCACGGAGCTGCTGGCCAGGCACCTGTGCCCGGGCAGCATCCTCCAAGGCCGAGGTCCTGAACCTGTGAGGTGGACCCAGGATGGGGACGCACCACAGTGTCACCCTCACGACATGGCTATGCCGATTAAATGTGGCCTGCAGAGTGCCGAAGTCACACACTCTGGCCATGGTGCGCATGAGGTCTGCCTCAGGGTTGGCTGATGTCCCACTATGAGAGCAGAATTAGCACACGCCCCCCCCATTCTGAATCCCCTGGGTGTTTCTGTCCTTATGGCACTCTGGGACCACTGAGGGAGGGCTTGTCCTCCTGCTTCCCCTGACCAGCAGAGGCTGGCCCTCAGCTGTCGGTCACTCGGTGTCATCGTTGCCCTCTGAGGATCCCTGAAGGTGACACTCTGCGAGGACACTGCCCAGCTTCCCGGGGCCACAGAGGCCACCAATACCTTGAGGGCAACAGCTGTCAGAGAAGGCCGACTTTCCAGTCCCCACCTTCTCACTACTGTGGAAACAAGGCTCAGAGAGGTTACGTCAACACTGGTCACACTTGCCCCTGCAGGAGACGGGCCTGGAGCGCCAACCTCCCACTCTTGGCCTCTCCCTGCACCAGGGAAGCTGCTGTGGGATGCTAACGCCAGGCTGCCCCTGTCGGGGAGTGGACTGCCTCTGCTCTTGTGAGGATGCACATTTCAATCATTTCATCCTCAGAACAACCAACTCCAGTGATGGTCGCCCTGTGTTCCTGTGAGGAAACTGAGGCTCCAGCACAAGAAAGAAAGTAGCCAAGCTGAGATCGGACCAGAGTTTGGGTCCGGAGCTGGACCTCCATGGTCTAATGCCTCTGAGGGGACTCCACTGAGCCAGTGACAAGCGAGGGCTTGCCCCACAGGGGGTCCCTGACCATGGCCTTCCATGTACAGCCCAGGCAGCAGCTGCATGGATGTCTAGTAATACAAAATGGTCTGAGTTTTCCCCACATAAATTCAAAGAAGCTGTTGAATATTAACCAATTATCCTCTGAAATGGGATCCTCTCGCATGTTTGTTAGTTTATTAGTTATTTTCACTCTGGAATTTAAGAGAAATGAACGCTGCATGAGGCTCAGATTCTCACTAAGCCTCACAAGACACTGCAGGTAGGCTGTTCCTTGGCACAGGTGAGCACAGAGGGAGTTACTCGTCACAGGTGAGCACAGAGCAAGGGGCCTCGTCACAGGTGAGTGAAGAGTGGGGGCGCTCGGCACAGGTGAGCACAGAGCAGGGGGCACTCGGCACAGGTGAGCACAGAGCAAGGGGCCTCGGCACAGGTGAGCACAGAGCAAGGGGCCTCGGCACAGGTGAGCACAGAGTGGGGGCGCTCGGCACAGGTGGGCACAGAGCAAGAGGCCTCGGCACAGGTGAGCAGAATGGGGGAGCTTGGCACAGGAGAGCACAGAGCAGGAGGCACTCGGCACAGGTGAGCACAGAGCAAGGGGCCTTGGCACAGATGAGCACAGAGTGGGGGCACTCGGCACAGGTGAGC